GTAGGGACCGAGGGTGTGCGGTATTGGTCCTCGTTAAACTGTGCTACCGTAAAGTGCTCGACTTCGCGCGCTGGTCGTCGGGCTACCGAAGCGGTGGTGCCATCCCCTCCGCAGAGGATCAAAATTGTGATGGCATGTCTTCGGATCATCCTCCGGGATGTTTCCCAGACCCTCGCCAATAGCCCATTGTGCAGCTCTAGTGCGACGTAAATTAACAACAACAACAACAATAAGCTAATATGAAAATAATTGTATTTAAAGTTGATAAAGATTTCAAACTGTTTTGAATTATGCCTTATAAAAATAGATGAAGTAAGCTCTCTCTTACGAGCTGAGCTTTAGCAGCAGTTTAAAATGTATTAATAGGGCGAGAAGGTCAAAAGTAGAAAAAAAACTCCTTTCATATTTAGACAAGTGAGGTATTGTTTCAGATTTTCTTTTTTTATGATGAATAGAGTGTATACAAACCCAAATAGATAGGACTACTTCAGTATACTACTTTTTTAAGATAGCCAGTCCTTTTTAAAGCAGATTCCATTCTTACAGTAAAATTTTAATAAGAAAATCTGATATACAGTAATTTTTGCAGTTAAAATTATCTAAGCACTCTTATTTTATTATGAGCACTATTATTATATTCACTTTATAAAAATTAAGCACTAGATAAGTCTTTTTAAGTAATAAATTTTAAAAATAAATTTTAGTAAATACTTATTATTTTTAATTAATTTATTTACTAATAATCGAAAAAAGTTTGAATTGTAAGGTATAGAATTTTTTTACATCATTTTAAATATAGTTTTTGAGAAATCAAAATAATGAACTAGTTTTTGAGAAATCAAATTTTTTTAAAAAATGTCTTTATTTAAAATTCGATTTCTCAGGAATAATTCGACTGATTTCATACAGTTTTTATATTTAGCCATATAAAATAGCATTCTTTAAAATTATGTAAAAAATTGTGTACTTTGCGATTCAAAATTTTTTTGACTATTATTTTTATGTTTACTAAAAGTTAATTTTTACATTGGATTATCTTTGGATAAACGAACTTTATAACTGTGTGCAAGAAATATTTCGATTTGTATAAAAATTTCTCGAGGTATGATGAGTTACGCAAAAAGCAAAATTAACATTGTAGGGCGCAAAATTTAAATTGTTCTTCTGATAAAATTATGGGGACCATATTTCTCAAATTACGACTGTCCCCTATACTTTCGTTGTCAAAAATCCGTATCCATAGAAAAAAAATTATGTTTTCTCAAAGAAAGTACATTTTTCTGCCTGATTTTGTATCTTAAAATAGCTAATCTTTTATACGCCTGTCTTTACAGAGAGCAAAAAATAAATAAATAAATAAAATGGACCACACTGATCGGACCATCTAATGATCAGATCTTCGTGTTCACGGACTCAAAAACGCGACTTCCTTAAAATTCGATTTCTCTGGAATTATTCGAACGTTTTCGCTCTGATTGAATGTATATTCTATAAAAAATGTATTTTGTTATACAAAATTACATTCTTTAAAGTGACGTAAAAAATTTTACATCTTACCATTCAAAAATTTTTCGATTAGTATTAAATAAAATAATAAAAGTAATAAATATCTACAAAAAGTCCTTTTTTTACATGGAATTACTTTTGAATAAAGGAATTTTATAATCGTATGCAAGCATTTTTCAATTCACTTAAATAATTATCGAGATATGGGGAAAGAAGCAAATGGCAAAATTAACATTAAGGGATCCAAACCTTCTTCTGTTCTCCAAACCAAACTAGTCCCGCAGTAGACTGATCGTTAAGACACGGTTCCCAGCAGATCACCAAAGTCAAGCATCACTGGCTACGGTCAGTGTGTGGGTGGGTGATCACTTGGATCAGCCTGCGTAGGGACCGAGGATATGCGGTATTGGTCCTCGTTAAACTGTGCTACCGTAAAGTGCTCGACTTCGCGCGCAGGTCGTCGGGCTACCGAAATGGGGGTGCCACCCCCTCTGCAGAGGATCAAAATTGTGATGGCATGTCTTCGGATCATCCTCAGGGATGTNTAAATTGTTCTTCTGATAAAATAATGGGGACCATATTTCTCAAATTACGGCTGTCCCCTATACTTTCGTTGTCAAAAATCCGTATCCATAGA